CTCTTGGAACACGAACAGAATTATCACATCGATCTTTCTACATATGTAGCTTGTAGAAAACTTTAAGTGCAACTTGTAGTCCGATTAACCACTTATAACTTGGTTATGTGTACTAAGTTCACCCCAAGTATCCGCGTACTTATAAGTAACTTGGGGGTGTACATAAGTTACTTATGGTTTTCAGTGGTAGAACTTATGGGCTACTTAGGTTCTACTTAAAAACTACTTAAGGTCTACGTATTTACTGTTTTTTTTCATTGTTTTCTATTTCATGATTTTTTCATGTTATTGTGTAAAAATATAGAAAAGTATGAAATCTTGCAAATCACAATCTGTTTTTGCGTTTTGGCTCAAATCAGCTGTTTCACGGCTGGATGCTCAGCGCGGCAGGGCCATAATGTCCGAGGAAAACTCGGCCATTCCGACCAAGTTTCCGCCAAAACGTCGGCGCGTGGACCTGGCCTTGACACCTCCCAAGGTGTCCGAGCCTGACCCACCGGGCGACTTGCCTCTCTCACAGCGTCGCTTGTTCAGACTCCTTTGGGAGGCGCTCGAAATGGCGCGACGCTATGACAGCCCGGCGCGGTCGGAAGCTGGGGAGTCGGACACGACGCTAGAACTCGGCCGCTGAAGTTGTGAAGTTTAACGAGTTCTCTTATCCAGCTTTGTATATAGCTGGTGGCTATTGCTTGCATCCATTTTGTGCTGCGCGCGCACGAGTGGTGCCAGCTTGGTATATAGCTGTCTGGGTTGTGGGCTGCGGCCCACGATTCATATATGAGAGTCAAGCCAATTAGAAATTAGGCCTCGCAGTTGCGACGAAGTGTGACTGCTGCGTTAGAAACCATGTTCCAGCTGCGCTTGCCGCTGTCTTTTGCTTTTGGCTCCTTTTTCACGAGTGTTCGTGCGATTGTTGTGGCTCGAAATTTTTTTAGGGAGTTGCGTGGGGGTTCGACTTCGGCTTCGCGCGTCGAAGACATGGCGTTGCAAGCGGTGCAGGCTTTGGAACGACATCTGCAGTCAGTAGCTGGGAATCCAAAGACCTTGGATCGCACACGGTTGGTTTCTGCTCTTGCGCAGCAGCTGAAGCAGCTGGAGATCCTGCCAGTGGAAAAAAATGAAGTCGAGGGGCACTTGGCTGCTGGGAGCTGTCCATTTACAGCTGAGGAAAAGGAGGAGCTCGTGGTCAGTGTGTCCGCAGCCGCCGACGGATCCAAGCCAGTGGGAGGATCAAAGCGTAGGAGCAGTCAGGACTACACGAGGTTTGCTCGCTTCCTTACCTTGCAGCACTGGAACGACATCCGTGCCAGGGTGTATCATCGCGACAAGGTGGAGGCCCTGTTGGAGATTTTGCACATGAAGTTGCACATGTGCTTGCCCACAGAGCCGACCCTGGCGATTGTGACTGCGCTCACAAATGGATTGGAGCGGCCCGATTCCACGGGCTGGCAGCTCAACAGCAGTTACCAAACTGTCAAGAATACCTGGAAGTCTATGCTGAAGCGGTTCGGGAAGCTTGGAACAGCGAGCAGGAAAGATCTGCTGGATGTCTTGCCTGCAAGATTTGATGAGCTTCCTCCTGCCATCATGAATGAGTATGCTGCTTCTAGGCCGGCCGGGGTGTTTCAGAGGCCGGTTCCGGAGCATGAGATTTACAGCGCCGCTTCCAAGATCAATATGCGTGGAGGTGATAAGACGGCGGAGAAGAGTCTTCAGGCTTTGCAGACTTTGGCCAGGCTGGTGCCTGCTCCTTCCTCTGTAAGTTTGCAAGAAGAGGATCCGCTGCCTAACCTGCAGATTTTCCGCCGAGCTTCATCTGGGCCGCCGACTGCAGGCTCCCACGCAGCTTTGGGATCACCGCAGCTGTTGGCTCTTCCACCTGCTGCGCCTGCCTCCTCCGTTGGAACAGCCACCGGTCTTGAGCTCACGGGCCCGGGTTCGGACTTCAGCCGGAAACGGCGAAGGCCCTTCCCTTGCCATATTAGCTTCCGGGTTCCTTCCTGCGAGGAGCAGCATCAGCTTCACCAGAAGGTGCCAATGGGTGGCCAGCAACTGCAGGCACATGACCGCACCATAGGCCATCAACAAGATCTCTCCCACCATCGCCATGGTGTCTATCACAAAGACCACTCCCTTCGCCACAGACTCCACGACGACTTCTGCCTAGCGCCAAACGGTAGCTAGAAGACACACGGTAAGGCCGCCAAAGACAGTAACCAACCCTTCCTGCATCACAAGCTGCGCAAAAGGATGCGGCCCAGATGGCGTCAGGCAAGGTTCCTGGTTGGCGCGTACTGTGGCTGCGGCCCAGATGGCGTCAGACCAGGTTCCTGATTGGCGGGCACTGTGGCTGCGGCCCAGATGCCGCCGGAAAAGGCTTCTTCATGGCGCGTACTGCGGCTGCGGCCCAGATGGCGCCAGTGCAGGTGCCTGATCGACGCGTACTGTGGCCGTGGCCCAGACGGTGTCCGGAAAGGTTTCTCAGCGGTGCGCGCTGTGGCTGCGGCCCAGATGGCGCCAGAAAGCAAGTGTGTCAGTGGCTCGTGCTGCGGCTGCGGCCTTTCTCATATTGTATTTACAGAATCTGTTTACATAGGAATTGTGGTTTGGGCATGGATGCTCTGGAAACTGTATGCTCTTGGAACACGAACGGAATTATGGCTTGGGCATGGATCCAAAATGCATGGCAGCACCAGCACTTTTGAGGCCTGCCCACGCAGGCCATACCCGGAGGGCTCGGGCGTTACTTCCTCCCCGAGCCCCAAACAAAAAGGGGAGGCTCTGTGATAAGAAGGCATGTAAATTGGGGGTCTGGGGGATCCTATGCTTCCTTTTAAAATCAATGAGGTTCTACTGAACGCAGAAGGACTTGCTCAGGTCAGCTTTCAAGAGAATAGGAAGGGCAGGGTCCTTGGCCTTTATGTTAAAAGGCCTGGCCTCGAAACCCATTCAAATGTTCTTAAGATGTAATAACTTAGAGTCAAGATCATGGACAATAAAATCAAATTAGCAAGAGCTAAAACAAATAAAATGGCTTCATCACCAACCCAACCATTTTTTTTGCATAGTTGAACACCCTTATCTTTTAAGAATTCAGGATCAGAAGGTCTGCTTGGCTACCCCCTTGCAAGTTCAATTTGATTGCCTAACCTGTTCGAATAAGCGGTTTAGTAAATCGATTGTTTTGGTAGCATTTCCAAATTCGACAGGTGGTTGACCCTGGCCGTTTAACACCCAGGCCTTTTAGATCTAAACATTTTTGTGTCTCACAAGTAACCCGGCCAAAAAATATTGTACATTATCTAGGCACCAAAATCATTTATATCATTGAGGATCAGGGGTTCTGCTGGAGCACCCCTTTTGGCATTTCATTGCCTGGCGTGTTTGAATGAGTGGTCTAAGAAGAAATCGATTGTTCTCGCCTGTCCTTTTCATGTAAAGGCTTGGTTCATCAAAGCCTTCCGCAAATTTTTCCCTTGGAAAGGAGTTGCCTTCATTATCGGGTTCAAATAGGGAGGTCCAGAATCATTGTTTGAAAGCTCTACTTTAGTGGGCCTCCCCAGACTAGTCAGGATCCAACATTAGTGTCTTTTCTTAGCCCAGAAAGAAGTGACGCTATCGACTCCAAAGGTCGCGTCTGGTCCACCGCTTGTCGCGTCCAAGGCCGGAACGTACGCCGGTTCGTCAAGTTGCACCTCCGACTGGCGTCGTCCAGCTTCCACATCATCCATGTGTTCCACTGCGGCGCCGGCAGGTAGTGTTCCCCTGGAGTCATCATCACTCATCAAACGCAAACTCCAAATCACAGGGTAGCACTCACGCACTTGCTTTCTTTGAGCCAAAACAAAATCGCGAATCATGCTTGCAGGGGCTCGTAGGGCTTCTGCTTGGAAAGTATGTTCACTATATTTTGAGTTCTTCCTTGTAAATTCTGGCGCTGGGGCCAGCAGGGCTTGCAAAACGCCGTGTTTGGGTAATGTAGCGGTCTAGTTTCACCGTCACAAAGTGGGCCTCCCGAAAGGCCCAAAAGGTGCGCCCTTCACGACGACGCTGTCGCACTAGACATCCGTCATCTGCAGCGCCGACATCTTGCGGCGCAGATCGTTCACAAGGACTGGGCGGCTGACGGCTGTCCCTTTAGTTGTACCACGTAATCATCTCTGCCATGCGGTTCTGAAGTATGTGCAAGACCATCTCCTCGACGCGAATCTTCGGTCTGTAGCGCAGCTGTCTTACTGTGTATTGTCTTGTCGTCCAGGTTCTGGCGGTTTGGATAGGGCTTGGTGTTGGAGTAGTCAGTAATCGCGACCATATGCTCCAATGTCCCCAGCTCGTATTTGTCATCATGTTTCCTGTCAGCGGTGTCAACATTATGTGCACCGCCTGACGTAGGTACTGAAGTATACTCTTCCTGGTAGCAAGCAAACCCAACTGAACCAATGCCACCTCCAGGAATGAGCTGTAGTACCTTGAAGCACCTGCGTTATCCATAGCCAATTTTAAACATCTCCCGTTTGTGCAGCAATCAAGCCCGAACTTTTTGGACGAGTAGTTGCTTAGTTGCAGTGCCTTGACCCCCAACCAGGGTCACAAAATCCTCAACTCTCCCCCATGTCAATGCTTCGCCATGCAAGAAAAACGTGGGACCTGCCATGCCAATGTAGCCCTGAGCCTCAATGGTGTTCATTTGTGATGGTATTTTCATGAAGTTCAGCTGCGCTATACTGTCAAGTGCCCTTCTCACAGACATAGGTTCAAGGCCTCCCGGAGCTTGCGTGGAACCAACGCATTTGTCGCAACCTCTGTTAAGCCATAACCTGCTGCAGGTGCATGTTGGAAGAAGTACATGGGTTCATGTATGCCCTCAACTCATCCATTGCCGTCGTGTGCGCTACCCTGACTTTGTTTACAAGCACCTTGTTTCGCATGGCCAAGACATCATTGCTGCGCAACACATGGCACGGGTGTGCTTCACATTGTTAAAACCTGGGAATGTCGTTGGTGAGGTTCGTGGCTGTAGCCCTGCGTGTTCTTTTCCGCAACCTAAATACCATCAGAGAAGCTTGCCAGATCAAGGACGGCCATACATTCCGCCGCTGTGTCATGCAGTGGTTCTGGGCTACGGCGTCATCAACAACGCCCGCGCCGCCTGATCGAAGAGCGAACGCTCCATCAGATGAAATTCTGCCTGCGTCTCCATGGCCGCGGCGGTTTTTAGCGTGGACACGCCGCGATGCCTCAGTCATCATGGCAAAGTAGCGGGGGTCCACTTCTTCCACAAGCTCAGCATTGGCAAGGCAAAAGTTGGCATTATCATCCGCAAAGGTCTTCGCGATGTGCATGTCCTTCACAACGTGAAGCCATTCCTCACCAAGATCGTCACCCAACACCGTCATCATGAACTCAACAGCCACGGCGCTCGCCTCCACATCATGGTTCCCAGCTCGAGACTAACTTGGGAATCAACAGCACAAGAGGACGGAAAGACACAACGGCACTTGAAATTGAAGATACCCCAAGCGGTTAGGAAGGCTTCTCCAGTCGCTAACGACCTGACAGGTAGGTCAGACTTCTTGAGCCAAAATGCCATTCTAGCAAATTCTGATTCTTCCCAACACAACCTCTTCCTACTGCCTGCACCTACTGCAAATCACGTTTCCCCACCCTCGCAATGGGGTTGTTAGATTTCAAAGTCTATGTTGTCCTCGCCCTCCACCCGGAGCCTGACTGCAGTGCCCAAGCGCAGACTATCCCTGCAGCGCCCAACCACCAAGTGTCCATGCAGTGCCCAACCGCAGAGTGTCCCTGCAGTGCCCA